CGAAGGATAGGTTCACGGCCCACGAGTATAACAAGTTGTCAGCCCGCAAGATTGGCCCGGTCGAGGTTCTTGAGAAGATTAATCCGAATGCTTATCGACTTCGGCTGCCTTCTCACATTCGCACGTCGGACGTCTTCAATGTCAAGCATTTGGTGCCTTTCGTGGGAGACAACTCTGAGGAAGACGAGACCGGCTCGGATTCGAGGGCGAATCCTCCTCAACAGGGGGAGGATGATGAAGACGAGACCGCCATTGCATTTCTGAATAAATACGACCGGCTCAGGATTTAATTGATTTATCTCCTATTAGTATTATTATTATTATTGTTTATTTCCTTTAGTCTTAATAATATTTATGGTAGGAAAATAATTGTCTTGCAAGTGTTTAGGCAAGACTAGGTCTCTTATTTTAAGTCCTTGGGATTATTTATGTGGGATGAAACCGAAGAGAGAGCAGTTTTTGATGAATTGAAAAATTGTTTGTTCTATTTCACGAGAGAGTATCTCTTTATCTGCCCATTTGTACTACGCTCTACATCAGTTCGTTGGCATATCTCGATAAATATGATCGTCTCGTCCTATTAGTTCAATTATTATTATTATTATTATTATTAAGAATATTATTATTATTATTATCATTTCGACCATTTAGTATTTATTTGTCATTTTACTTATTCTTGGCGAACAAGTTAAGCCATGTGCATACACTGATGGTTTAAACATCTCTTGATGGTTAAATTAATAGAAAGTAAAACCATTTTCTGTGGTTTGTGACAAGCGACGAGTCTAATTCATTGAAATCTGAATCAGAACCTAAATCCTTATGATCGTTCCAATTAATGGATAAATCCTCATCATGATTCTCGATTTTAGCTGGAACTCTCAACTCAGTTAAGAAACCAGAGCTCTTCATTAAAATACTTATCATTAAGCAATTCCATTGCGGTAGCTCTACTTGCAGGGTCGAAATACAAAAGCCTCTTCACAACATCAAATCACTTGCCATATTCTTGGCCAGGGTGACCTTTTGGAATTGAAGAACAAGGTGAATTTAAATCTGGCAATACGTTTTGTTTAGAGATGTTAAACGGGCTAGCCCTTGCGGTTTCGGGTTGGCCCTAGCGGGCTTCGAGCTAAACGGTCCGGGCCTAAAAAGCCCAGATTTAAACGGGCTACCAATAAAAGGACCTAACCATAACCCTAGCGGGGGCTAAACGGGTTAAACGGGCTATAATAATAACAATATATAAAAAAAATATAAATAGAAATTACAAGCGAGCTTCATGTATGAACACTAGTTACAAACTCTTAAGTGACATGTTTTTCTCAAAAGAAAAAAAAAATGTTAAAACTATTACTTATAATTACCATTTTACTATTTTTTTTTTTTGTATGCTTTGGAAATTTTCACGATATTGTATCTTACTGCTAAATTTATATTTTATCACTATGTTCTATGTGTTAGATCTTTGTTTCACGTGTTTTCTATTAGCCATTCTAATTGGCTTAAATAATATTGTGTGAAGTAGAATAACGAAATTATTAATAATTATTTTTCAAAATCATAATAACCGGCTACAACTCATATTTACATATGAAATACAATAGTAAAGTTGTAATACACAAGTTAAACGGGCTAGCCCTAGCGGGTTTCGGGCTAGCCCTATCGGGCTTCGGTCTAAACGGTTCGGGCCTATAAAGCCCTGATTTAAATGGGCTACTAAAAAAAAGGCCCTAACCCTATTTTTCTTCGGGCTAAACGGGTCGGCCCGTCGGGCCAAGGACCGTTTAACATCTCTAGTTTTGTTTCTCCATATTTAAAATTGGAAAATAGGTTTTAGTGGAGTAACATATGGAGGAAATTATCCCTCACACGTTCCCACAACATTTTATTTGCACTTTTACGGCTCCATTAAACTTTTTAGCGAATTTACAAAATTTATGAATATTATTTGCACACATACAAGGGATTTAAAAGAATCAGAACGGATTTAGTGGGATCTGTTATCAAATAAAAAAATGGATCACACTTTTCATGCTTCATTACTCCACAACTGACCCACACTTCATCCTCTGCAGCGGATGGAATGGCGTGGCACCGGAGGGTGGGTTCGGCAACTGAAGGGGACGAATAACTCTTCTTCTTCTCTTCTCCTTATTCTCTCTCTCTCTCTCTTCCCCTCTATTTTCTTCTCCTTCTCTCTCTCTCTCTCTTTCTTTTATTCTTCTACATGTTTATATGATGAGATTTATTTTTTCTATTCGCGGCTTCTCGAAAACCTGCTGTCGGATAGAAATCGAGCGTGCTGATGATGCAATCCGCGGATTCGCCAAGTCTTCATCATCGGAGGCTTCTCGAGCGCGATGATGGTGTACGAGCGACGACTTCCGACGATGGGGGTAGATTACCGATTATGGAATCCAACTCCTTCTCCCCGTTGCACAATCTCGGCCGACCGAGGCGACGCCACCGAGATACGCCCGTCGTCATCGAGGAGGGGAAGAACTGACGTTGTCGAGTGAGCTTGCAGATGTAGAGAAAAGGGCCATGGTTGCGGTTTCGGCTCTTAATTTGGGTTCTGAAATGAGAAATGATTGAACGTCGAGAGTATATTTTAGGTATATGTGTGTCTCGATCTGTCACTGGCTTGAATTCCGAGAATCTCGAGTGTACATCTTATGTATGTTTTATGTATATGTGAGTTCTGAAATTGATTTTGAGAAAAGATTGAAACTCTAGTGTATATTTAAAGCATATTTTATGTATATGTGTGTGTCGATATGTCGATGGCTTGAATTACGAGAATCATGAGTGCATATTTTATGCATATTTTATGTGTATTTTATGTATATGTGTGTTGTATATTTTTATATGCTTAACATAAACCAGAGATTAACAAAATCAACGACAAATTATTATTTTTGTTAGTCATATAATATTGACATAAACAAATATGAGATAATTACTCCCTAAATATATACGGACTGTAAAGGCAATATATATTTTCTATGAAAAAAAACCGAACATATACTAAATATAAACGCAATATATATTGCCTGTAATAAACTGAAAAATAAACTAGAAAATTTACTTTTAAAATTATTTATAAATTTACATGGAGAGATAATTAATATTTAATGGGAATGAAATAAAGAGGAGAGAGGAGAGAAGGAGAAATAATGGAGAAGACAAAGAAAAAAAAACGGATGAATAGGGAAGATAGTGTGTGGAATAGCAGGGGCGGATCTAGTTCATAATATGAGTGGGGGCCTACTTGTTTCTAGAAAATAAATATAATACATCATAAGTATAATAGAAATAGATATTCGTAGAAATTCTTATAATTTTTCATAGCTTAGTATGACTCTACAATAAAGTTTTTACATTTTCTTTCGGCCTAACAATATTATAATTCTCCTCAAGTATATTTGGAGTAAAAGTAGCTAATTTTATAATATTTTCACATGCACTTCTTTGTCAAGACTATTTATAAAAATATTTCTCCATAATTGGATATGAAAAATAAATTGTAATGT